GACAGGAACGCACCAAGCCCAACCCCAAGAACGGCTTTTATGGGAAAATGAGCCACGGAAAGCCACGAAATCCAAAATCCCAAACCCATCTGGGGAAACAACGAACCAGGGACGGTCCCTGACCAAGTAGGGACTCAGGTGGAGCCACCTGGGTCTGATCCCATGGGAATTGGGAGTTATCCCTGGATCCCCCACAGTCTGATCCAATTCGAATTGGGTGTTAACCCTGGATCCCCCACAGTCTGATCCCATTCGAATTGGGTGTTAACCCTGGATCCCCCACAGTCTGATCCCATGGGAACAGGGAATTATCCCTGGATCCCATACAGTCTGATCCCATGGGAACAGGGAATTATCTCTGAATCCCCCACACCAGCAGAGATCCCACGGGAACAGGGAATTATTCCTGAATCCCTCACAGCCTGATCCCATGGGAATTGGGAATTTTCCCCAGATCCCCCACAGCCTGATCCCATGGGAATTGTTTTGGCACTATCCCCGGATCCCCCACAGTCTGATCCCATGGGAACAGGGAATTATCTCTGAATCCCCCACACCAGCAGAGATCCCATGGGAATTGGGAATTATCCCTGAATCCCATCCAGTCTGATCCCATGGGAATTGGCATTTTCCCCAGATCCCCCACAGACTGATCCCATGGGAATTGGACACTACCCCCAAATCCCAGCAGAGATCCCACAGCAGCTCCCCACAGGCTCCTGAGCCAATCCTTGGCTCCAGAGCGATCCCAAACCATTCCTGCTCCTCCCACCTCGCTCTGATGGGAGCTCCAGGAAGGGATTGAACAAAATCCGCCCCCTTTTCTGCCCCAAGATACGCAGCCAGGGAATTTTCCCAAATTTCTCCCACCCCTGATCCAGCTGCTCCCCTCAGAGCACCCCGAAAATCCCCCCTGTGTCCCTGCCATGGAATGAAACCACTTCAGAATGGCGAGAAAATTCCAAAAGCAGATTTTGAGCCTCCCTAAATCCATCCTGGACATCTCCAGGACAAACAACAACAAATAAAGTTATTTAAACGTTATGGATGAACCAGGGTGTCCTGAAATGTATTCACCACCACGGCAAGGAGGGCTCAACCTCCAGCTCCCATTTCCCAAACCATGTCCTAAAGTTTAAGTTGAATTTAGGGAAAAAATGCACAAAATTAGTCCAAAGAAGGTTTTTTTTTTTTGCAGAAAGCACCAGCACGGGATGGAAGGACCTGGGCTACGAGCAGAAGGAGCAGAATTTCMCTCCCTGTGGGCTCATGGTAATTAAACCTTTTATTAATTGATTCCAGYGTTATTAATTCCTGCCCTGGACYWATTCCAGGTTCKGTAATTACAYTTCCCTTCCTTTCCCTGCATTTTGSTCCCTYCTGGWGCTCAGGATCTTTCCCTGGTGGTTCTGATGGAAAGGAGCTCCATCCAACCCCAAATCCCTGCAAGGATCCCTCATCCYCCTCCTCCTGGGAACACCACAGCTCGGAGCTTTTCCCCATTTAACCCTCAGGAAAATGAAAATTTCCCACAGCCGAGTCCTGGGTCGCTGCCCCACATCCCACAGGAACATCCGACACTCCAAAACAGCCCAAAAATCAGATTATTTCCTGAATAAAGGGGGGGAAATATTCAGGAAATCATAATATTTCCTGAATAAAAGGAAAGGAGCACAAGCAGAACCAGGCCCTGCTCAGCTCAG